TGTCTGTATGTCCTTCTTTTGTTCTGTCATCTGTCTTGTCTGTCCATCCTGCTCAAAAAGCAATGTGAACTACATGCATTTTAGGCTTGTGTAATCTAGATTTTTATATATTACTATGTGTCATGTGATATACTGTATATATATATTTACAAAAGCATCATGAGAGCTTCAGATGCACTTCAGATGCACTCAAACTGCATGATTCACAGAGCAAATATTGACAAACCCTGATTCCTTCACATGTCAGCATGCAGGCGGATCTCTAACTAACACAATTTGATTCATGATTTAACATAAAACTAACAGCCTGCAGGAAGCTCTGGACGTGGGTGATGGAAATGGTTAAAAGCAGCTCCCAGCGTGTAAGCTCTCTCTCTGTCCTCTTAAAACCGCTCTAATACTTCAAGACTTGAGAAGGGATTAGTTTGAAATCGTGGCCATCATAAATAATTTATGTTTGCATTTAAAACAATCTTTAAGAAGCCATTAAGCAAGAAGTGCATATTTGATGCTCTTTTCTAAATCCTTTCTGCAGTATGAGGGTTCAATTATTCTCTCAAGGGGAGACTTGGCTAGTTGTCACAACAGAAAGTTTTCATAATTATAATCATCACTTAATTCAGAACAGTCACAATCACTTTTTTTTCTATGCCGCAATTTAAAATTTCAAGATTATGATCATTTTCTAGTGAGTACAGTAGTGATTATAACAAAGCCATAATGACATACAGTCAGGCAAGAGTCAGTAAATAATGAAGGATGACTGTAGAAGAGTTTGAACTTTGTTCTCAGGACAAGGTATATCAATATTTAAATATTTTTCATAAATATGAAACTGGGACAAGTTGTCTCATGCACCTTACATTTTGCAATTGTATACACTTTTGTTAAGTAGTTTCATATTGTTGTATGTTATTGTGCCAATGTTTTTTTTAATAACAGTTTTTTTGGGGGGGGGGCTATTTAGCTATTTTCAGTGTAGCTAAAAATCAATTAAGTCACCCATAATTTTAGATACAGATATGTTGAAAGGTTATATTTTAAGCCAGTATGTCATATTTCAAAGGCATCTCTTTCACATCTGTGTCATTTAACAGCAGGTTCCCACTATTTTATATAGTGTGACAACATGCCCCGCTATAGGACATATATCACCACACACAATGAACGAGAGAGAATAAGCATCCAAAACTGACTTCTCCATCTGTTGTGGTCACTGGGGGGCGTCTTCTGCCCAAAAAAATATCCCTGATAACTTTTTCATGTGTGTGAATTAACATACTAATTTCATCTACTGTTCAAGTTTACATATTGTATTGCGTCCACGATCTTTGACTCCATATTACACTCCAGCATTAATTGTGGTTGGTAGCCACAGGCTCAATTATTGCTCAGTATTAAAGCACTATCTAAAATGCAGCACACACACCTTGGGAGAATCCTCAAGGTAATGAATATAGACTAAATTAGTTGGATGCTGCACTATTGCATGATGGGAGCCACACATAAATGAATGCATACAGATGTTAAACAAATGCCAACTGAATGCAATGCTTTGAGCACTGTTAAAGGAAAGGTTCACCTGAAATAAAAGAAAAGGGATGTTTTGGGGAGTCTGAGCCCTTCTTTTAATGATTAAGATTTCAATGCTTATTATAATTTATTTAGTTTTCTTTTTTAAATGTTGTATTGTTGTTATAAATAAAATAAAAAAATGCTTTATATAAGCCGTATGTTTACAACGCTTTGCAGTACGTGGATGAATCTTAAGCAATTCATTCTTGTGCACTTCTAACATCTTGCATTTTATTATTTCATGTCTAAGCGGTGGATAATTCACATCATTAGTCTGTGAGGTGAGAAAACAGATGGATATGGATGAATCTATTTGTAATTGTAACATGAGAAACCTTCAAAGTCATCAAACCCGAATGTCATCTTTCTCGTTTGAACATCTCATGTATCACATAAACGATTATCCTAGCTCTACATTTTTCCAACAGAGACAGTTGATTCATGGAGCAGCAGTGTGTTAATTGAAGGCAAGGGAATTTGCTGGTATTTGTTTTTTGTTTCTATATGTGTTATATTATGGAGATTATATGGCGTTGGTCAAAGATGTGTAGGTCAAATGAATGCAGTGGCAATTTCTAAAAGTCCTTACATGTCCTCAGGCCTCTGTGTTTATAATTCTGTGTGTATTTATGTGCAGGAATGCCTTAGTTTTATACAAATGGATTCTCTGCACGTCAAAGCGTCTGAAATCTATAAAAGATTCATTAGTGCTCTATTCCTGCTCCTGTGCTATAAAACATTCATCTCTCTCTCTGTCTTTCTCTATCTTTCTCTGAGCAACCCCACAATACCCTTTCCCTTTCTGTCATTTGTTTGTTTGTTTATACTCAGTTCAATTAAGCTTTATTTTCATGATTAGCAGGCTACAGTATTGTGAAATTATAGTTTAAGAAAAGTCAAGTTCTTTAAAAATGTACCGAAAACAACAATAGTAGATGAATAACAAAAAAACATACAGAAAGATAAAGAAAACAATAGAATTCTAAGATCTTGTGATGGAAAACGTTATCAACATAGGGATCGTTATATGTAACAGTTTCACGCTAGTGATTTTCATTCATTTTAAAGTACTTTCTAAACATTGTACATAAATGATGCATGTTAATTGACTGCATTGTACCATTTCAAGCTAAATGGAGACATTTTAATGCTGGGCTACAAAGTAATTCAGTTTTTTTTCAACTGCTTGCACACTTTTTCAAAACTTTGCCTCTTTTTCAAATCCAAGAATTGCACACAAAAAATTTAAGCACTGCACTTAGCAAGATGTGCAAACACATCTCAAAAAGCAAACATTTGCAAACACCTTTGCCATAATATTCATTCCTGTTAGCTTTTATCTGTGTGTTACATAGAGAATTGTGTGTTGTGTTTTGCAAAAAGTGCTTTATGAAATTGAAAACTGAGTCAAAGGCCGAGCATTAGTCTATGGTTTTGCAGATTTGGTGTGTGGTTCTGGTGTTTGAGTGTCAGGTTTCAGAAATTGTATGACAAGTACATATTTTGTGTGTAAGCAGTTGACATTTTTTTTAAAAAAGACTTAGGGTAGAGTGACTTTATAACCACAAGATAAAGTCAAGATCATGTTTTATTGTAACTATGGACTATGTTGACAAGACTGATGTAGAAGTACTTACCATGAAGCTTACACTGGTGATGTACCGGAGAGAAAACGGATTTCACAGTAAATAATCTAATTTTCAGCAGTAAGAAAAAAAGCTTATTGTTTTCTAGAAAATCACAGTTATGTATAATATGAGAACAGTAGGGCCTGTAGATAGGGAGTACGTCTTATTTAAGAAAAATATAAATATATTTTCAGAATGACAATTTTTTTCTCAAACAGTTAGTGGGGTAAAACGGACCCAGCCAAGTGGGGTCAAATGCTCCCAGGGTGCAATGGGCAATTACTGTAGTTATTCTGTTCTGAACATAAAATCCTTTGTTTTTCCATCAAATGTATTCTATAGTTGGTTGAATAAAAAATATTGGGCTTTATATTAAAAATTACCTCAAGTTAGCATCAGGTAGCTAGTTAGCATCAGCTAACAAAGTTTTTCAAATAGGCTACTATAATTTTGTAATTCATAATTGATTCAATTATTTTTAATTTTAAGCTAAAACTGCATGCACTCTGATTTTGCTGTACATGTATACAGCTATGTGCTTTGTCAGACTGAGGGTTACTCAAATCGCCTCCTTGGTCCGTGAAAACTCATTTTTCACACTTGGTTTATAATTTATGTCATTGTCACTAAAACTATGATAACTTGGTAACACTTTACTTGAAGGGGTGTGCATAAGACTGACATGACACCTTCATAATCATGACTGAATATGAAGGAGGTTTTATGCATGTTTATGACAACTGTCATTAAGTGTCATTGGCTCAGTTATGTCATTTTTAATGCAAATATGACATTATTTGACCTACCCCTAACCATAGCCCATACTCTGATTTTGCTGTACATGTATACAGCTATGTGCTTTGTCAGACTGAGGGTTACTCAAATCGCCTCCTTGGTCCGTGAAAACTAATTTTCCACACTTGGTTTATAATTTATGTCATTGTCACTAAAACTATGATAACTTGGTAACACTTTACTTGAAGGGGTGTGCATAAGACTGACATGACACCTTCATAATCATGACTGAATATGAAGGAGGTTTTATGCATGTTTATGACAACTGTCATTAAGTGTCATTGGCTCAGTTATGTCATTTTTAATGCAAATATGACATTATTTGACCTACCCCTAACCATAGCCCATAACAAAGACATCTCAAACAATGTCATCGTTGCATTAAAAATCACATAACTGAGTGAATGACACTTGATAACAGTTGTCATAAACATGAATAAAAACACCTTCATATTCATGACATGTGTCATGTCATGGTTATGTAGGTGTCATGTCAGTCTTATGCACACCCCTTCAAGTAAAGTGTAACCGATAACTTTTCTGAACACATTTAACTTTTGTTTCACAGAAAAACATTGCAAAGTCCTTAAGGACTCTACCCTATATCCTTGATGAAGATCTCTTGGTTTTATCTATTTAACGGTTGACACAAACTGAAAACTTTTCCATTTAATTGTTTCCACTGAAATCTTACACCATTTGTGTTGATGTGTTAAAAAAGGACCCGTATATTTATCTCTAAGCCGCCCCACCAACCTTCTCTCTCTTTTCATTGAAATCTTACACCATTTGTGTTGATGGACCCGTATATTTATCTCTAAGCCGCCCCACCAACCTTCTCTCTCGCTCTCTCTCTCGCTCTCTCTCTCTCTCTCTCTCTCCTTCTCTCTCTCACTCTCTCTGCACACACACACACACTCTATCTCTCTCTCTCTCTCTCTCTCTCTCTCTCTCACACACACACACACACACACCCACCCCTCACTCTCTCTCTCACGCGCGCGGCGCCACAGCCTCGTTCCGTTCCTCTCGCGCGGCTGCACGGACACTGTCTCGGATCGTTGGAGTACTTCTGCTTTCACCGGAAATGTGGCATACAGCAGATTTGGATTCATCCCGCAGGTAGTTTATCCCCCTTCCAGTGTGACTTTCGCCCGCTCTCGGCAGTCCTCCGGGCTGGTCCGTGTCGGCAGTGAGCAGCAGATCTTTGAGTTTGGATGTTACTGTGATTGTGTCTCTGCCCAAATGACTGAGAGAGGAACCACCGGGAGACGCTGCTCTCCGTCCCGCGCCTGTACGGCGACCGTCGGGTAAAGTTTGAACGGCAGAGATGATGGCAGATTCTTAAAATTGACCACAGCGAGGAAAACACCATCTTCTTCAGGGACCTCTTTCTGGGATTACTCACTTACTGGATTTATTCGTGAAACATGAAGACTTTAATTGTTGAGGGTAAGTCACGGGAATTGTTTTGTTGAATTCGTTGTTGTTTTGTATTATACATAGTTTAACTGCCGCATCTATACACAACGCGCATCCCCAAATGTCTGTCACGGACGTGAAAGGTGTTATGTGCTCGATTCCCGGTACATATTGCAAATATTGAATCGGTTTGGTCATATATTCAGAACTTTCCCTAAAAAAACGATAATTTCATACTGCCGTACACTTCGCGACGCGAACGCGACGCTTCGTTTATAACGCGTTCTAGTTTGAGGCGTCGCAAACGGACAGTCTGTCCAGCTGAAAACAGTCTGTCAGGGAGAATCACAATTTCTTGACAATTTCTTGCGTTTCTCAACTCGTTAATGCGCGTTCCTGAAGGGTTGCGCCAGCTTGAGTATCTGTGTAGGTTTACGCAGGGTAGTTTGCTCACGGTCGAGGCTGGTTAGTAGTTTCCTACCGGAGACGAGACTCTTCCCGTTGTTGATGCAGTGAGAAAATTGAAGCAAATTGTTTTAAATGTTAAATATGCGTCTCATTTTAGACACTAATCATAGGAGGTTTCAGATATACCCTGTGTTTTGTCAAGTAGTTGAAGTCGATCTGAGTATCATCTGCAGTCCTGTCTAGGCTACTTATTTGCATATGGTGTTTGTGGGAGTGGCCATTGACTTTTACACCTGAATATGTAATTACGAAGACATGGACAATGAATGGCAGCTTACAAGGATTGTAAATAGTTGTTGTTGGTGGTTATTGATAGTTGCGCGTACAGTTCTGTTTATGCAGTCTTGCGTTCAGTCTTGGCGTTTGATTTGATTTATTCTTATACAATGATCAAATGTGAAATATATTTGAGCATTTTTTTTCTTACAGTACCAGTATCTGAAGAAAGGGACGCTGATCTTACATCAACAGCGTTTTCCTCTTCTGCATCCTATAGTAAAATGCAAGTGTGAAGGATGATAATATAATAATCTATATAATAATATAATAAAATATTAATTGATAGCCTTTGTGTGTGCATTCTTATAAAGGAGAATTAACATAGTATTGAGGAATATGCTGACTTTAGTCATTAGAATTGAGCATATGTACCTAAAAAGGAGTATGTTCAGCTTATAATATATCTGAAATATACATGAATATCTTATTGCAAAAAAAAAAAAAAAAAAAAAATCAGTGTAATATTCTGTAGGTTTCCCTGGTATTTATTGATAAATAAGTCAAGTAAGACTTTATTCTATAAAGTTTTATCATAAGAATTCAGTCTCACATTTGGTTAGCGTTCTACATCAGGTTAATTGAGAAAGACGCTGTCCGTGGTGCTGAAATCAAGAACATAAAGACTGAGAGCCGAGTTCAGCTTCCTGTTTTGCTGTTTTCAACCCAAAGAGGACAGCAGAGCTTTATTAGGGCACTGTAGAAAATGGTTGAAACACATTTGTACTGCATTATCCCTGGTCTAATTAGGATTTAACAAAGCATTGACGATGTTTGTTTTGCTTGCACCTGTGAGCTCGTGAGCAGCTCTAACTAAAGATCACATCGCAAGATCACAAGAAGCTTTGGGAGGTGCTGAAAAGCAGCAGAGCTCCACCCTATACAGCAGTGAATAAATCCGTAAAGCTCTAAGGATGGAAGCAGCTCACTGCACAACTATCATTCAGCAAGCGCAATGCATTCTAGATGCTTTCTTTGCCACAATGCAAAAGGTATTGCAGGAATTCAAGTGACAAAAAAAAAAAAAGGTTATGCAGTGTTTGACGAATGACCATCTTGTGCCTCTCCTCACGATGTGCTTTCTCACAGGAGTTGTGATGTTGTTTAGATGCCAGATGGACTTGTCCTTCTCACTGTTTGGACCCATTGGTTATCCGTGGCCCCTCCCGCCTCGCTCTGCTAACCTGATTGAAGTGAAAACACATGAAATATTCCATCATAGTGAGACGTAGAGCTTTAAGGATTAGAAAGAGGGGTAGTCTAGTCGTGCAGATGGATTTGCTGGGGGTTGAGAGAGAGAAGGAGAGGAGGAGAAGAAAATGAATAAGACATCTTCATTTCCGTACTGTGTTGTGTGGAGGTATTGATATTTGGATGATAAATGACGTGTGTTTTTGTTTTTGCTGTGAATCCTGTAATTAAAGATAGAGCAAGACTGTGTTGAGTGGCGACAGACAGCCCACTCAGAAAGCTTCTCCTCTCTCATTTTCTTCTCACTTTTGCCCCTTTTAAACAGTAGTCAACCATACAGTGATCTGATTCATTCATTCAGAATGAGTGAACAATAGCATGGAGTTTACATGGCATCTATCTTGCTTAAATGGAAAAAAACTCACACTGTAAAAAAAAAAGGATTATTAAAGTATGTTTTCCAAGAAAATACTGTAGCGTCTCGACCAATCTGACACACTAATTTTAATTTGATTTAACAAATCAATTATTCATTAGGTTAACAAATCGTCATATTTGTCATGTCATTATATCATTTTTGTCAACAGTCAACTATAAGAAATATAAGATGACGTACAGGTCTGGGGGCGGCGACAGTGCGTTAACTGCGTTAAAATATTTTAATCGCTGTGTTATTTTTTCATAACTAATCAAGTTAAACTGACAGCCCTAATATTTATATTATTATATATATTAGTAATATATAATATATATATATATATATATATATATATATATATATATATATATATATAAATAATTTTTTTTTAAAGAAATAAAGACCAGCCCTAATATATATATATATATGTATATACGTATATATATTAGGGCTGTCAGTTTAACGCGTTAGCTTGATTAATTAGTTTATATATAATTAATTAGTTTATATATATATAAAACCGCAAAAATATATTAACCACAGTATAAATGTCAAGACAAAACTGGCACGTTTCCTCTGTTGCATGCTGTATATATCATACTGTCCAGCTCTATTCTACACAACGTTATACTTCTGTGTTAATTAGCCCTCCTCCCGGGCAGGTACGTTTGATCAAAAACTTTGTCTGCATTAAATTCTGTATAAACGATCATATGTAAATGTATTTCAGTGCCTGGGAGGAGAATCTAATTGCAGCGAACACGGCGCTTTGGAACTGGCAGCGTAATTGACAAGAGGTGGACATGCAGTAAAGCGTCCCTCTGAGGATTAGCTCCGAATCTATCTCCAGACAAACACCACCTTCTCCCTTTCAAAGCAAACACGAAAGCTTTAAGCTAACAAGTGAGCCCAAGCTCCTCTTTCAAGCCACGCTAGCCATTCTCTTTTCTGAGGCAAAGACTAATTAATGGTGATTCAGCTTCCTATTTCTCTCATTACAATACTCGAATATGAATGCTACAGCTAGCAACCATTTTTAGCCGAAGACACGCCCATGGTAATTAAACATTTATCCTTTAATCTGGAAAGGAGAGGTCTCTGTGAGTAGCTGAATAGAGCTCGTGATGGATGAGCTGGTAAATAGTTAATTAGACAGAGCACAGGACGACCTTAAATTAGGTGCATGACTAGAGCCTTTGTCTGGACCATAAGTCAGTGTCGTCCCTCCTTTTCTCGCCCATCTCACCATTTTTCTCTTTGCGTGTCTTTGTTTGGTCCTCTCAAGCCACCTTTACATTCTGTTTTTCTCTGCTCGCTGTCACTTTTTCGCTTGCGTTATCACTCGGGCAACGGTGATTCTTCAGACGTTTAACACCACAGATCCATTAGTGACAATCTTTTAGCATCTCTTTTAGAAATCAGCACAAATGGAGTGTAAATGCCACAAGGCTTTGGGTTTAGACTCTGACAGAAGGTCTTTATGATATAGATTTATTCTTCCAGTTTTAAGCTTTGTTGTTAAAGCAAATGGAATGAGAGAAAAGCAGTGTTTGCTCATTTGTATTTTTCTGGTCAAAACAAAACTGACTTGGGAAGTAAGTAACCCAGTAGATAATGGGTGTAATGGAAATATGAAACTAATCTCAGTTTTGGAACCAATAGAGTTTTTACAACAGTGTTTAAATATGTTTTACAAACCTCACAATAACATGTCTGGGTCATATACAGCATTGCCCTGTTCATTTATTTATATATAAATATAAAATAAAAAAAAAATATATATATATATATTAGGGCTGTTAGTTTAATGCGTTAACTAACTTAATTAATTAGTTTATATATAATTAATTAGTTGCATGCTGTATACATCATACTGTCCAGCTCTTTTCCACACAACGTTATACTTCTGTGTTAATTAGCCCTCCAAATATGTTTTGTATATATATATATATATATATATATATATATATATATATATATATATAATATTTATTTTTTTGGGGGGGTGAAATGTGACCTGGACATGTTTTCATAAGATTCAATGCGAATAATTAATCTGGACCTCAAGGGTCTGAGGGAGATAAGGCACCGTCAAACACAGTATAATTTTACATTAGGCTATCCTTGCTAAAGAACTGACTCTTGTTTGGATCTGAGACTGGAATATGTTTCAAATTTATAGATAAACAAACACACTTGAGATATCACACAAAACCGTAGCGTATCACACTGATATTGATTGTTTCTCTGTTAACTGATACTATTGAATAAGACTGAGAATTTTATCAAATTTGGACAAAGGGTGCATGTAAGAACTGTGTTTATCATTTTGCCTCTATCTTTCTGGCTTTAATGAGTATGTCTCTGTAGGTGGGGAACAAAACACAGCTTCTTAATAAAATTCAGAAGTGCAAGCGTTGCTCATCTTAGACATTTTTTTTTCTTTGAGAAAAGAAAAATCAATGAGTAAGAATCAGACAGATCGACAGAGAGAGAGACAGACAGATGGCTAGACAGAGAAACAAAGGCACAAAGTGAATGGTTGATATACCCATCGGAGAAAAAAAAACACTGTAATAAAATGAAACAACAAAGTGTGAAACAGAATAGAAGACAAAATATCTTGTTTTTCATCATAAGTATAGTTTGAAACAAGCAATGTATCTACATTAGGAGT